TGTGTTAAAGGTTGAATGAATGTAGTTAGGCTCTCTGACGCTACACTTCAGAGTTAGCCACTTTCAGAATAGTACCTCAGGGTTTAGAGTTGAAATTAGGGTGTGTTACGAGGTCTTGGTTATGTTGAATTTTAACACGTTAGTGTTTTGATTGTAGGAGGAAGTGTTGAACACGTAGACATAAACACATTCGTGTTTGGTGTTTTCTTTTACAACACATGTCAGAGAGCACGGGGAGAGATAATTAAAATAGTCATGAATGAAATAAGAATGTTAAGAGAAATATAAATTCATATGTTACTTGCCATTTCATTGTGTAACATTTCATTAAACTAGTTTTCCTTCCAGATCTCTGGAAGGAACCAGATTTGAATAAAAGCTCCTGTTTAGATGCAGTACAGATGAAAAAATTGTCCATGGGAGCTGCTATTGTAAAAACAATTTTTTTTTTAAATTTCTAGTTTCTAGTGAGAAATGTTTGTAAAAGATTGGCCTCGCGTTAGATTCTAGAGCTAAAAGTTTTCAACAAGGTCGTTTTAGACCTCAGTTTCAAACTAATTAACTCTGGCGGGAAGTATGTAAGGATCTTAAGTTTTACTAACGTTTATTTTATTTTAAATCTTTACTATCACTTCTTATTTTCTACTTCCGGCCAGAATTAAAAGCGTTAACTTATTTATGCAAAGTTTGTCTGGCGAACGCCAAGTACTTTAAGTTGTGGCTTTTTGCCAAGCGAGAGAGAGGAAGGAGTTAGTCGAAGCAGGCCGCTTACCTTAGAAGTTTTACTCAGTTGCTGGTTGCCTTCCAGGCCAGAGGTTTTAATCCTCTTGATAATTTTTTTAAACGTATTGTAGTGTTCACAGTTCTCTGTACTACATACGGCTTCCTGTTAATATAAGGCCAATCTTCCACGTTTGTTTATTATTCCAAAGTTAAGTTAGAGTTTAGTTAATATTTTATATTCTTACGTTAGACCACAAGTAGTTGGTCTCTGTATTCCGAAGTACGGAAATTATTGTAAAGAGAGAAAAATAAAGGGTTTTGTATACCCTTCCTGTGTATCCTGTCTACTTCCCACATTTATTGAACATAGCTTTAGTAAGCTCTCTGTTCCGAGTCAGGTCCTTGTATGTTCCCGAAGAAAAACATTGAACCTGATAAGGAAACTTTTAAACCTGTTGGCTTAGCAGTTAAAAAGGGAAGCAATAAATAAACCTTTGGCCCTTTTTATTAAAAGCAGTAAAGGAAGAGCTCGATACGCAAATATAAAGCCAAAATTGTAAAGATATGAGAGCATTTGTTTTAAATAAAACTCCATGGTGGAATTCCATGTTAGTGGCCGAACGGAGTCCAGTTCGGGCCCTTAGGCGCCGTTTTCAAGGTTGCCGCGATTCAAATGAAAGAGAGGCATTGGGAATGATATACAGGAAAAACCGCGCAGTCTACAAACGGAAGATTTCAAAGGCTAAACTGGAATGTTGGCAGAAATATTGTACGAACGCAACAGAAAAATTTGGTAGACTATTCAAAATTGTACATGATAAGGTCTTCAAATCTACCAGCCTAACTACGTCAATCTGTCAGAATGCCAACACTAGTTCCCAGATAGTGACACATATACTGGAAACGATTTTCCAGCATGATGATCCCCACAAAGATACTACAGCGCAGAAGAAAATACGAACTAGTATTGAAAAATATTATACTTCGTCGATTCCTGATTCTGAGCCTCTTCCAACAAGCAAGGAACTGAGTGACGTAATCAAGAAGCTCAATCCAAGTAAAGCTCCAGGTCCGGATGGGTTTGACAACGGCATTCTCAGAACTATGCATAACACGCATCCTGCAATACTTTTCTCCTATTTACAGGTATGCTGGAGAATTCGCCACTTTCCAGAAGGCACAAAAATAGCAGAAGTTGCCCTTTTCCTAAAGGGAAATAAAGATCCAAACGAGGCTGCTTCTTATAGGCCTATCTGCCTGCTCCCAGCCATGGGAAAAATCCTCGAAAGAATAATACTTCAAAGACTGAATTTTTACATTCATGCTAATAAACTCATAAATACTAGGCAATATGGCTTTATAGCAGGAAAGTCTGTGGATCACGCACTGAATCACCTACGGAACACGGTACCTAGAAACAAGCAGAATAAACTGCATACTGTTGTCATCAGTATAAACATTCAAGGTGCCTTCGATTCGTTGTGGTGGCATGATGTTTTGAAATGTCTCAAAGATATTAATTGTCCCAAAACTATATTTAATTTGATCTACAGCTGAGAAAGACGAATTCAAGCTACAACGGATGGAGGTGTCCACATGAAAACGGTGACGAAAGGCTGCCCGCAGGGCTCCTGCCTAGGTCCACTTCTGTGGAACCTGGTAGCAGACACCGCGCTCAACCTGTTTGATGATGATGAAACATCAGAAATAATAGCGTATGCTAACGACTTCTTGCTAATTTCAAACCGTCACAGCCGTAACAGTTACGAGATAAATTCCCAAAAAGCGTTAGACAAAGCGCTGGGCCAGTGAACATAAGCTCACAATTTCAAGAGCAAAAACCAAAGGAATGCTAATTAGCCCAGGAAAAAGGAACGAGCGTACCCCGTGCGTAAACCTTCATGGCAGAAACATACAATTCGTGAGACATTTCCGCTACTTGGGTGTGATTATAAACGACAGATTCTCCTGGCTCCCTCACACCAAGGATCTTAAAGAAAGGCTACATAAACTGTCTAATACAATGCGGAGAACAGCTGATGCTAACTGGGGGTGTCTCCCTCGCAGATGCTCAAAATATGGTATACTCAAAATATGGCAGTCGCTGAGCGCATAGCTCTTCATGGCGTTTCCATATGGGGCGTCAATGTCACCGATTAACATGCAACATGCATTGAAACACCGCGCAAAGACCATTTCTTCTGGGCATCTGCAGAGGATTCCGTACCTCTCCTTACAACTGCATTAAATGTATTGGCTGGGCTTCCGTCCGCTGCACTTGACAGTACAGAGCGAGAGAGCTATGGTGAGTGTGGTCAGACTAAAACAAGACGTTACTATTTGGAGACTTATGTATCCTCGGACTACGAGAATCACATTGCCCACTCTCCTTGCCACCCTGCAGACTTCGATATAGAAGCAAACTGTAATCCTCCAAGTGCATTACAATCATTAGCCGTATATACTCATGGCTCCAAAGGAGAACTCGGGACTGGCAGTGCCTGGTGTGCAATGGAGGGTGACCACATAATCCATTCCTGGGCTAAGAAGCTTCATCCCAGTAACTCGGTGTTTCAGGCAGAACTTACAGCCCTAAAGGCAGCTCTGGACTTTACTGCTAACAATAGCAGGTATAAAGTAATTTACACAGACTCAATGTCAAGCTTGCAGGCCATCCAAGGCGGCCGCAGTAGATATCCCATTGTCAGAGACATACAAAAACTATTAATTTAGATTCCTGCAAGTCTGAGGCCCCAGCTACAATGGGTTCCAGCCCATACGGGGATTAAAGGAAATAAAGCAGCGGATATGATTGCGAAGGGCGCAGCCAATGAACCCCACGTGAGTAGCATTGGTGTGCCCCTTCCGTACTCGTATCTGAAAACTACTCTCAAATGTGAACTAATGAAGCAGTGGCAAAACTACTGGGAGACAAGTACCACAGGCAGAAGACTATGATTTCCAACCAAAAGTTAACCACAATTTAAATAGCAGTTCTTCGTACCTCACACAGTATTTGACAGGGCATGGCCCATATATGTCCTATCTTCACAGATTTCGCCTAAGAGAGAGTGACCAATGTATTTGTGGCAGTACTGGTGACCCAGATCACTATCTGTTTGACTGCTCGCACATGGGAAATTCACATTTCAAAAGACCAACTGCAATCAATATGCCAGCATGGTTCAAGAACACAATTAAGAATAAATATGCGCTCAGCCGCATTAGAGACTGCACTACCATTGCTAAAAGCATTGCTGACAATCTGGAGTGACTTCTTTCCTTGGACACCATGCCGTCAGCAGCCTGCTTTGTACATATATTGAATTTACTTAAATCTTGTGTTTTTTTTTTTGTTTGTTTGTTTTGTTTGTTGTTTCGCTTTGTTTTGTTTTTAATTATATTTAATATTTATGATTAATCCAGAACTCATTTTAAGGTATCCCACAATTTGTAATGTATTTGGTTCATCTTTACATTCTGTACCGGATTATATAGCACATCCTTAATTATAACTGTATGCCTAACATGTACGATAATAGTGTATGCCTAACATGTTACATAATAAGTGTTCCGCCTTAGTCTCAGCAGTCTCCACCATGCACCTTCCTTCCATGTTCTGGTCTTTACTTCAATGTTCCTCATTTCGTGGCCAATCCCCGGAGGACACAGTACTAAGCTCTTTATTTATATTTATTCATGTATTTTTAAAATTACATCGACGGGATCCAACAGGCTGAAAAGCACCTAACCCAGTGGGCCAGCTGTTCCGTCGATGGTGAAAAAAAAAGTTTCATAGTCGTAAATTATTTAGGTTTTGTTTAAAGACGCTTAGATTTATTTGTATTCGTAATACGCGTCTATAAACTGCAAGCTTTAACTTTTTGATGGTCAGGAACGGGCTCAGATCGCATTCCAGTTACGTACCGAAGTGGGCGCAAACGAACACAGCTCATATTACAAATTTACGACTGAGAGATATCACGCGTATTTGGAAAGAAAGAACTGCTTTATATCGCAACTGCCGAAGGGTTAGATGCCTTCGAAATTTCCATATCAAATCCAGCCTTATACTATCTTAAACAACTAGTTTCAGTATCAGATTTATTCATTTGTCTAAATTTTTGGATTCTTAGTTAATATTCTTTCCAAAGAGAGTGGTCTTTCTATCTACAGATTTATTGTCAAATAACGAGCTAATGGCGTGTTGATTAATGACATGAATGGTGACAAAATATGGCTTATGTTATAAATCTGAACAATGTAAATGCGGCTAATCACCAAGACACGAAGAATTTAATAGACAAATATTAACTTATGGTAAACTGCATTATCAAGCATTATGTATACATATTTCGTAAGAGCTAAGTTGAAATATTAAAGTTTTTATGTATAACTTACGAAAAGATATCTGAACTTTCTTTCACTTCTATTTTCACCGAATAATGAATTTTCTCACTGTTTTTAATAATTGACTTTTCCAATGTTTTATGCACTTCAGACTTCTGTTTTTGTAACATGCTCTTTTGAGTATTTGTAAAAGACCGCTCTTCTGTTTTACAAACATGCGGTAAGGAGTCTTTAAATTTTTTACTGGATGAGGAGATTTGAGAGAGATCCTTTGTGTTTCTACTCTCTAGCAATTTGTCTTTACGATGTTTACGCAGCGGATGCGAAACCAAAAAGTTCCTTGTTTTTCTTGGTGTAGTCAGAAACCATCTAAAATTTTGCCCAATCATATTTCTAAATGAGTCATTTAGCCAGCAGTATATAAAAGGGTTGTAGCAAACGCTGCTCATTGCAAACCAGTGGCACATGAGGAAAACAGTAGAGTTATGCTTCATTGGGCCAACAACTCCCCTGGTATCTTGATAGACATGATACACGTTTAGAGGGAGCCAACAGAAAGAAAAAACGATAAAAACTACCATTAACATTTTAATAGTCTTCCATTTGGCTGTCTGAAGGCGTGTTTTCTGATTAGGTGTCACAGCTCCAATAGATGGCCGGTGCCAAATGATGCAACATATTTTTGAATAAGTAATTCCACTAATGAGCAGAGGTATAAGATATTGAATGGAAAGTGTAACAATTGTCAATGATTTTCGAAATTCAGTTTCAGGCTGAGGGTATATAAGCCGGCATCTTATCATCTTTTTATAGGATGTATCTTCAACGACATCCGACAGCAGAGGGTATGGAGAAGATACCACCATTGCCATAATCCATATGAATATTACTTTTAATGTTATTACAGTAATACTTGATCGAGGTTTCAATGGATAAGCAATTACTTGATATCGATCTAAAGCTATGCATGCCATTGTGAAAGAGGACACATTTACTGATAAACTTTGAAAGAATGGTAAGCATTTACAACAAAATTTACCAAGCGGCCAATTGCTTGCTAGTATCTGAGTAAGCTGTAAAGGGATATTAATGACAGTCATACTTAGATCTGACATAGATAAATTTCCTATGTATATATTGGTGGTGGATCTCATGTTTGAACATCCAAACACAATTTTGCAAACAATCGAGTTTCCAAAAAACGAAATAATGACTATTATCATATAAAATAATATGACTAAAGTATTCTTCAATACGGTGTTATTCTCCAAAAGCATGTAGTTTCGAGCAGTCCAATTCTCTACAAGCATTTCATGAAGCGCAACAAGCGTAGCATTGGGATTAGAACGGTTAATCATCAAATTAGTTTGATCTTGTTCAACTTGATTAGTAAATTCAGATTCCTTCGAAACAAAATTTGGGCCAAGAATTGCAAAGTGAATTCGAGATATAATATCATTCACCGACATATTTCCTTTTCTAGTTACTTCTCCAAGCATATTCGATTTGATTCTTCTTACATCTAGGAAAGGTCTTCCTCATCTCATATAGTGGTTAATCTCACGTAGACGCTCTCACGTAATGGTTCTGAAAATAAATAAAATGAAAGAAACTATTATAAGTTTGAACATGGAACACAAATTTAGTTGAAATAAACTATATTTTGGGAAACACGTGAAATTATTCATGACTGTCATTAAACCGGAGCAAGTATGGTAAATATAAAGAATATGCTAGAGTAAAAGGAAGCAATAATTTGGCTAACCTCAGAAGATATCAAACAAATTCATATTTTCTCCTTCAGTTAACAAAGTAAACATTTACATCTATTTCCTCTGTGTTCTTAGTAAATAGTAAGGGCATTTTTTGTTATGTGGTTTCTTTTTGTTTCAGTTGCGTTGTCGTATAAAATTGTTTTTCGTGTTCATATAGAAAATATTGTCATATAGTTTCCAACAAGACCTACATCTAAATCTCAAGAAGTAATTTTGCGTTTTATAGGACAAAATTTAAACCTGTATGATTTGACACTTTGCCATTTACGAACTCGTTGATGATCATCCAAGATAAACAGGATGAGATAATCAGTCTATTATAAAAATCAGCTATACATAGAGCAATAAATAATAATAAGCAAAGCATAGATATTAGACAATTTCTCCTTAGTGTACTAGAAATATCGTCAATTGCCAAAATTACTTACAGAGTAAATTCACATTTCAACTAGCAATAAATCTCACAGTTGAATAACAACTAACAAGAGCAACAACAACAATTCATCCGGGATTTCGGGGACGTATTTTATGCAGTTTAACAGGATCAAATCTGGTGTAGCACGAGCGAAATCTGGTGTAGGACGAGCTTCTAGAAGTTTTAGAAAAAAGCGGTTGGCATTGTTTGTGAAGAGCGTATCTCGCGTTTCACTAAGATATTGTTATAATTTAAACATTGATGCACTAAGAATCAAGAGATAAAAAATTCCATATAAGAAATAAACGCATATATAAACATATGTGGCTACAAATGCGAATCAAATAAATAAATTACTAAATAAATCAATGCAATGTAAAGGAATATATATTTAAATATTTACAGATATATGCAACAATATGTTCCTGTTAAAATCTGTAAATTCAGGTATTTCATAGAATACTTAATTATTTCATGAAATAATTGATTAAGTCAGCAAAATTGCTCAATAAATTAGTAATTCTACATTTTAACTAATTATTTCATAGAACAACTATTTATTCTAAATAAACTAATATAATAGGCAGTTAACGTGTAAAACGAATGATTTAACAGAAATATGCAGCATTCAGAATGTTTTTTATACAAACAAATGGTAAAAACATCTGCTACAACAGAGATTACTACAACGGCATTTGGAATTGAATGGGATATTATTTTTAAAGCAAATTTGATACTTTTGATACTTTGTGTTTCACATTATTATTATTATCTACTTGTTCCGCCCTAAGGCACTACACAGAAGGGAGGGATGCCTTCGTGGAGGACTTTCTAAGGGAAACTGGCTCATAGTAACAGGTTAAACATAGAGAAAAACCACGAAAACGCACATGCAGCCAGCCCTTTCGCGGGATTCGAACCTCGGACAGGACCACCAGTATTGAAGGACCTTACCGCTCGGTCACTGTTGGGTCTCTGTGTTTCACATGAAAATCTTTTTATGTCACTGATCAGTACCTAAACTTCTAATTGTAGCAATCGACCGGAGTGATTTCTTTGCATTCGGCATTTCTTCCACTTCAATTGGCGTTAGTTTACAGATGCTGACCAGGATCGGGGATATAGTTATTTTATATTGCCGTTTCTTTTTGGCAAACGAAAAATACATTTTCGCTCATTTTCATAGTAATAGCTGATACAGATCTGACGTTATCTCTTTTTCCGTCAGCTTAGGTACTGGGATATGGACTGTAAGTCTCATAGAGGTTTCGGAACGAGATTAATCTGACATTAATTTTACCTTTTTAGCCCGAATTTCCAAACAATTGTTTACAGCCTTCGCTTTCCCTACGAACATTGCGTTCATTAAAACAAAATTTGTAGACCGTCTGCATAACTTAGTCTTTTGAAACACAGTCTTCTAAATATGGTATGTCGACAGGATCATTACGTTTCGAGCAAACTACGTTTTCACTACCTGCTTATGAACAAGCTACACATACTTTACTAATAGCAGAATTTAACCTCATTCTTTTCAACCAGCATTATCGCTTCGAGACGAAGTATCGCTCATTATCGCTTCGAGACGAAGTACTCATTTCATCTTGGAACTGACAGTCTTTATCACTAGTGAATCAAATGCTTCGTTCGGAATATGAGTTGTAAGCATCCCGACTCTAGCTACGCAACCAAACATACCCTGATAAGTTAATTAGATTTTTTGTACGCTTTTACAATGATTATTATAAAAGCCTTATTATGGATCATTAGCATTATTATGCAGCCTCAATTACTCATAAAATAATGAAAATATTTTAAACTGGTATCAGCTTAAATATATACACGCACATATTTTTATATACTAAAAGTACGTATTTTGACAATAAATTAATTTAACGCAGAATTTAACTCATTCCATTTTTCTAATATTAGCTTTCTATTCCTTTTAATTTTTTTTTTATCCCAAAGTGATGTTAGCTCAAAGGGATATTTGTCTCGAAACGGCATTTTGCGTCGAATCATCATAAATCATTGTATCACTTTTCCAACTGTTGCCACCAAATACGATATTATCGGCCTGTATTATATTTAAAGAAATTAAAGAATGAAGACTATGCGTGCATATATGTATGTTCCTTGCACTGCGAAAAAAACGACACCTAGAGCCATCAAAGTATGAATAGCGTAGTCCTTTACCTGAGTATGGGCACCTGGAAGCCCGAATTTTCAATTTCGAACTTGTTATATTATCTAGTTTATAATTTTTAAACTTAAAGCGAATTTTTGATTAAGAAACTCAATGATTTCAAAGCAAGCACTGGCAACACACTGTACGGAATAAAATATATTTATCTTCAGCGCGCAAGATTGTCTTTCGGAAATTCTAAAGATATGGGCTCTTTATAAATATTTTTAGCCCAAATCCTCTCGAAACGTGTATGTGTGTGTAAATGAAAAAAAAAAATAAAAAATAAAAAATAAAAAACCCCTTTGCACATAATTAAAATCTGAATGCTTTCAGATTTTTATATTTTTTATTTATTTATTTGACTATTTGCTGGGAAATAATTTTTAAATGCTATTTTCTCTCAGTTTGCTTAAAAAACTACTATTTTCTCAGAGCCTGTAATTTCTCGCATTGTTTTCGAGGTTTGAACAATTCCAAGATTATATATTAACTTTATATTCACTTAATTTCTCATGGCTATTGCTTTTATCATTTCGAAGTTCCAGATATGCCTTTACAGAACTTAAAATTCTGAATTCCATCAAATGCATTTTGTAACTTTACCCCTTTCTGTTGCCTTTGCTGTCTTGATGTATTCTGATAACTAACAAAATCAGTTCCTCGTATATTAACAGTTGGGAGAGAAAATTTTTTATCCGTAATTCTAACAACCTATTTTTCATATCATTTTCATAATCAGATTCATTAAAGTTATTGTTGCATATTCTAACATTCTTTGTGTAGACAATATCAGTTCTTTGACATCTGTGCAGCTATTCTTTCGTTAACTGAATGCTTCTACGCGAAATTTGAGGAAATATGTTTATTTTATGATACATAGTACCGCAGGTAGCGACAACATAGGACATCAGTTCTTAATATTTTCTCGTTACAAGCATTTTCTAAATGCAAATTCAATTTAAATATATCTTCAGTTATAATTTTCAAGTAAAACGAACTCCTTTCTTTGAATCTAAGACATAAAGAGATCTAAGCTTTCGTACTGTGGAGCTCTGGTCAATAGGCGAGGTGACGCAAAGAAAGTCTATACATATTCTTTGAGATGACGAGCATACTGACGTCACATAACATCAGGTATGCTCTCCGAAAGGGTTCGTATGGGTATCGTTCTCCTCAAAGGCAGCCTTTGAGGAGAAACTTTCCAGCCCTTCTCTTTCTTTAGCCCTAGGTAAAGGAATCTTTTAATACCATAGTGAAATGCTCTGTTTTCCACGAACTGAATAGATTTCAGCCCGTTACTCCTTGAGGTCCACTGGCAAAGAACATCTATGTACATAGCACGTATTCTTTGCACTGTTTGTCTTGCATGTATGATATCAACATGTTTTTTACATAGACCTTATAAGAAATAGACGAATCAAAATGGGTTTTCCCCTCGTCTGAACGCATTCCCGGCTGTCCCCTTGACCACATCCGGAGGAGTACCGACTTGTAGAAACTTAATAATGGTTGGCTATTGCAGCATGTATAATTGTCAAGAAAAAGCTGGTTGTATTTCACAAATTAGAATTTTTAGGCATTTTTATTTTTGAAACTGAGATTGATTTTTAAAAATTTAGCATGTTTATCAAGCATAATTCAACGTTCGAAATGATCATTAAGCTGTTGCATGCTTTCAGGCCTGGATATTTTTGTTTAGCTTTTCCTATGCTGTAAGAAAATTTGTAACTACTTCTTTTAGAAAATAATATTTTAAATCTAAGCTAATAAAACATTTCAAACAAAAAATTTTCTCTTACAATTTTCATGACTTTTATTGGTGTAAATAAGTAAAAAATGCTACAATATCTAAAAATGCATTATTCAAAGTTTTTTGTTCAAAATTCTAAATTGTGCTGCTTTTTAAAAATTATAGGTGAATATTATAGAATAATTTCTATAAAGGAGTTTTATATCAATTATACTTCATAAAACATCATAGTGATAAACACTTTTAACACCTTAATAACTTTTATGCTGTTTAGTTTTTATACTATTTTTAACTGAATAAATGTTTATACATTTATTCTAATGTTAAAATTGTAATAATTAATTGTGATAGTATTTTATAGTGATTATTTTTTAAAATTTATTTCTAGTTCTGCATAAGAATTTTTTTATTTACGGTGTATTTAATTTATTAGCCCAAAGGGGCGGTAGCCCAGAAAGG